GGAAAGAGTCTGTTTGGTCTAAGCCATACTTCTTGATTTTCCGGCCCCCCCCCCAAAAAGAGTACCTTCTGTTCCCAGATGCCATCAGCAGTCAGGGAGCAAAGTCTCCTCAGATGGGCTTGCTTCCTGAGAAGCATGCTTGTGGCACGCCCTGCCCTGGGATGGGACTGCTGCACTGTGCCATGCCAGGCAACCTGGCCATGGCTCCCTTTCCCCCTCTTTACCCCTGGGCAGCATCTCCAGGCCACTCAGCCCCTGCAAACATGGCCACCAGCCCCTGTGCTGCCCAGCTGGCCACAGTTCCCCACTGCCCTGAGGCAACCCCAACCCCGCTGCCCTGTTGCAGCCCCAGCCTCTGCCCCTGCCCTGACCAAATGTCAGGGATTTTGCTTTACTGAACTGGTGGGAGCAGGGGGAGCCAGATTGGCATTTGGCTCCCCCTGCTGGAATTTATGGGGAATTGCACACGGCTGAATTCATTTGAAAGCCCAGTGTGTGAACACACGAACCCAGTGCACCAAAATAAACAAGTTTAAAATGTTTAATGCTCGTTAAGTTAGCAAGGATTAGATACTGTGATGTGCACAACTGCACTAAGTTGCTAATGGCACTTTTCAGCCATGCTCCATTCTCACTTCTGGCCCCAGGGCTACATGCAGAACCACAGCTATCCAAAAGTTATGAGTCATTTCCCAAAACATAATTTTCTATCCAAGTTAATGGTGAGACTTTATGATAAATAAATACGCTATGTATATAAATTCCAGGCACCCAAGATACAGTAAGGGGTAAAGGACTATAGGTAGTTTCAGTTCTGCAGTGCAAACAGGAAGGATTCCAAGTCTTTTGTTGCTTTCAGAAGCCACCTGAATGCCTCTTTCTAGTGGATGGAAAAAAGTGGTGACCGGTGTTTATCATCAACTGAATTGTATTTTGGTCTTCAAGGATTTGTCTTCATAGTAACAGGTAGACAAGGTTGAATTAGTGCCATGTGCTACTTCGTTCTAGTTTGGCCATTTTAAGCAAGAGTGACCACACGGCAAAGTGACTGGATTGACAATTTACCAGCTCAAGTTTAAGCGGTACTGGCATGCTCACACTCTTTTATCCTAACACATTGGGGACCTAAGCCTCAAACTTCCACTTTATCTGAGCTAGAGAGGTTTGTATGTAGGTGGCAGTTGGGTGTTAGACACAACTCAGAGTCCAACACAAGCTAGCAATGCAATGTAGACTAGTCCTAGAAGCTTGCAGGATGTTACCCAGGATCATAGGCTTTTGTTGCTCAGCACATGGGGTCAAGCTGGAGCAATTCAGGAGTAGGAGAGAGGCCTCCCTGCTTTGTGAGCACTGAATACCGGGGGAATGCACTATTCAGGGACTTGGCTTTCTTAAAATAATGACAGGTGGAGAGGGTGTGGGCAAGAAGAGGGCATAATAAAGCCATATCTTAAAGCAAAGGGAAGAAGCATCAGTCTGGAAGAAGCAAAATTAATAGAAAATTATTTAGAAATGAAGAGATATAGATAGAGGACCAGATACCAGTGTAAATCATCATGGTCCCAATGGTTTTTAAATGGAGCTATGATGATTTCTATCAACTGAGGGTCTGACCAAGGTGTACTGTACATCAGGGGCTCTTTTTCAATTATAGACGTGATGAAGAATCAAGCACATAGAATTTACAGAAGGAGCACCCTGAAAAAGGATGGGGAGGGCAGGTGTTTGTTCTGCTCTGCATATAAAACCAGAACCAATCCTAATGGAGCTGGCACCTGAGAATATACCTCCTCTGCTCGTGCTTGTAGGGAGGCAGTTAGACGGGCCAAAGCTACCATGGAGCTGAGGATGGCATCCCAAGTAAAGGACAACAAGAAATTGTTTTTTAGGTATATAGGGAGTAAAAGGAAGGCCCAGGGAGGAATAGGACCCCTGCTAAACGGGCAGAAACAATTGGTGACGGACAGGGGGGACAAGGCTGAACTCCTCAACGAGTTCTTTGCCTCGGTGTTCCTAAGCGAGGGGCACGACAAGTCTCTCACTGGGGTTGTAGAGAGGCAGCAGCAAGGCACCAGACTGCCATGCGTAGACCCTGAGATGGTGCAGAGTCACTTGGAGGAACTGGATGCCTTTAAGCCGGCAGGCCCGGATGAGCTCCATCCGAGGGTGCTGAAGGCACTGGCCGACATCATTGCAGAGCCACTGGCGGGAATATTCGAACGCTCGTGGCGCGCGGGCCAAGTCCCGGAGGACTGGAAAAGGGCCAATGTGGTCCCCATTTTCAAGAAGGGGAGGAAGGAGCATCCGGGCAACTATAGGCCAGTCAGTCTCACCTCCATCCTTGGCAAAGTCTTTGAAAAAATTAGCAAGGCTCACAT